GCAAGCATGTCCCGTAACGCAATTTGTGACTGTTTCTCTAATTGTTATTGGACACTGCGTGTAAGTGGCGTTTACGGTCCCTGCTGATCACAGGGGTTCTATTACGCCTTAGGGATTCAGTCTGGAGCTGTTGCAGACGATCATGAGATCGTGGTATGGCTGGTCAGACGGCAAAATGCAGCCACAATCACAGTAATGACCTGACGTCGCAAATTGACGTTTGCTGCAATATGCCTGTCTCTGAAATCACTAGAACCGAGAAGAAAGGCAAGACGAGCGTTCGTATATCGCCATAGAATCGGAACTGAATCATTCGAAGGTAGAACAAGGTCACGTTGACCCAGTAAAGTACTGTATCTGATGTGGCAAAAAGTAACTTTGTAGACTAAAGGTATTGTCAGCGAGAGGATTGGACAGGCCTACAGACGACAGTCAAAAGGTCAAAAAAGTAATTCAAATTCATCGGTGACAGAGCTTCTTAATTGCGCATTTCGATTACTGTTCGCTACTTAGGCCACTTTTAAAAAGCCCATATCCTTCCAAAGTGGCAAGATATGCTTTAAATCCTCATAACATCTTTACCAAAAAGTAGCACATTAGTCCCATCGCAATTGTATAGAGGGGAGCATAAGTTGCAGACGCATTAAACTGTTACAGAGAAGTCAGGGACTTCACTATTTCCAGAAGATAATTTTCTCAAAAATCTTAAATGACTTCTTAGCTGACCCAGAGTACGGAACATGCTTAAGCTAGTGCCCGCACAGGCAGTTGCATAGCGACAACTAATGCAGAAAGACAAGAGAGTCCGTCGTTGCCATTTCCGGCTTGTTGATCGTACTACGTCGGCTACACCCTAAATTCATGTTTGAATAATCTAGGATTCAAACCCACTGAGAGTAAAGGTTGAAGTTCTAACAGTGGACTACAGGAACACTGTCAGTCGGCTGCGATTGGAAATATTAACTCTCGCGTAAGACGCACCCGATCGAAACCGACATGACAACGGGGACCGCGCCTTAATTATCGTGCTACCTTTGTTGCCTAACAGTCCGGGCTCTAAGTTTCAGCTAGCTAGTACTGAGTTGTTGTACGCCTGGCTGGCCAGTCTAGTCCTCCGCATCTTCCTTGGTATTTATTCTGAAAGCATAGGCCTGGGGATGCCGGTTCTTATGAGGATTTTTAGTCGACGATCAGGCTCCACATGCATGGAGAGCGTACGCAGGCGATTACGAAGCTAAGACCACCGTGGTTAGAGATGATGCCAGTCCTGCGACGCTGCTGTTGCTGGACGATGCAAGTGGCCCTTCGGAAAATCTCTGAACGGAAATTAAATCTCCATCGCAGGCCGACCGCAAACACATTTTTGGACGTTTTCCCTCCCTACTTCCGAATCGCGTGCCGAACGGATTGGAAAGACTGCCAGTAGATTTGTCTTAGTGAAATTGCCGTCATATGTTTCGGCGGATTGACTGTACATGGGTGTTTTGTTACCTACCTGTTGAAAACGGCTTATGTTGCAGAGCAGCCAACACACTTAACTGGGACAGTGCATACATGATAGTTTCATTCCCGTTTTGTTTGCTACTAACCAGTTTGTAGTAACCAGATGTTATTCGAATACTTTTTCTCAATCTACTTTTTCGCTGGTTCTCATTGGTCTTGACTCACTGGCTTATATACAGCCGCGTATTGGTTTCCTTTGCGAGACTGCTAATCTCATTGCCACAAATATAGGATTAATTTCCCGTTTTTTTACTTTGTCGTGCTCTCTCCATTACTATAGAACCGCAAAAAATACGAGTTACTTATGTGTCCGTCGGATAAAAAAATACCGTTCGTCGGATAAAAAATACCGTTCGCCTACGTGTTGATACAAAAAAGCCCCAGCACATTCTATAGAATTTTTTGTGCCCTGCCTGAATGCTAAGCACGCTTCATATTAATTTTGCCGAGAGACTCCAACTATGAGCAGATAGTATGAGTAACAAAAAACTGGCTTGCCGGCAGCCAGTTAGCTAACGGAAACACTTCAGCAAAAATCAGATACATGGCCGGGCCTTACGAAATTCAACGAGCTTAGGTGGTGTTTTAGCTCTGCCCGCCCGAAATAGTTGCAAGGTATGGAAGACGACCGTCTAAGATTCAAAGCTGATATTTCCACAAATTGGGTTAGATGTGAACAAGTGGCCAACCACAAGCAGGGAATGGGCAATTTGACTTGTCTACTAAGTACTTAGAAGAAAAACTAATTTGACCCGTCTCAAAATAGTTTTTTATTACCTTCCACCACCTGGCCAATGTCAATCGTACTAACTATCAATACCTATCTGCTTGTGAATTCCTCCCATTTGGACGACATATTGGGTCCCAGGAAGCACACGATAGCTAAGCCTGTCTGCTCCTTACCTGGCGAGTGCATGGGTCGCGGATAATGCAGCGGCCATCAACAAAGGCTGCCTGGTAAGTAAGCAGGCTTGTTACAGACAAACAAGCAGGCACAGACATGAAACGGCAGTTTTACGGAACAAGGCAAGTCGTGGTTTGACGCAATAACTGCCCATGCGCTGCCTTGTTGTATGGCAACGGTGAATCGCTCTTAAATCTGTTATCTTGTAACCGCTGCCCTGTCTGACCCCACAAGTACTTGCTGTAGACGTGATCATACTTGACCCAGCCGACCGTGCGGATTATAGCTCACCCGCCATGACGCTCCATAGATAAAATGAACGGAACTACATACGTTTTTTTTGGAATACCGAAAGCCTATAGAAACTGTCGATAAAATGCGTTGGACCACAGTTGGAATTTTTCCCGACCTCTTCTTTTTGCATCTAGGTGTTCAACGGTACCAAAGCAAAGGCAATGATAGTAAATTCATGACGCGGAAGATTAACTTGCCCAAGTTGACACTCTTTTTGGATAGCGCCAGACGCTCGCTGGATGTCGATAGTAAGTCGGTGTATTCAGCTAGAAATGCGGATCTCACCTAACGCTGGCCAAAATCCCGTCTTAGTTTGCCTTCCACGTCCAGAGTAGAAAGCACAACTGAAATCGAACTAACTCAACCGATGCTCAGTACGGGCAACCTTCTGGGCAAGATATACAGCGACACTTTCGAAGACAAATATCATGAGAACGGTAGTGAGTAGGACAATTGCGCCGCCTGTACTCGTTAATAATATCATCATTTCTCACCACTGATAAAATCGTGAGGTTTGAGGTCAACGATGCAGGTGGCCGCTGGTTACCAGTAGTCGTGGCACTCCAGAAATGCGCCGTTTAAGTGTTTGGCCAGCGTACTCACAATCAGATCAGAAACCAAGTTCGTTAAGCCTAGCTCGAGTCATAAACGCGCGTCTGACTATGGAAAATATGCTTGCAGCAATACCTACGTATACTTATGTGGAGATGCCACCCCATCCAGCAGTATGTCATATGGCCTTTGAAATGTGTTGATTAGGCCTTAAATATACAATTTATCTATTTATTCTTTATCACTCCCTTCCGGAAAGAAATATCGCAGATGCTGGACTAAGACGGAACCCATATGCAGAGAAGGGACTGATTGACTAAAATGGACCAGCACAAGCAAATGAAGCGGGAGCTGGGCTTAGGAATCTCGGTTTTGAATCGGCGCGTCAATGATTCCTGGTGGATAGCACACATTCACGGTGTAGTGGCGAAGGAACGTTCACATCTCAGATCGAGATAACTTACATCCCCCGGCGCTGTGCCCAG